TCTCCCAGTAAGCTCTCGATGCTCTCAGTGCTCTGGCCGCATGATTTTGTATTTGTTTCCCATTTGTCTCCCACTTGTCTCCCAGTAAGCTCTGGATGCTCTGAGGGCTCTGGCCGCATGATTTCAGACTTGTCTCCCACTTGTCTCCCAGTAAGCTCTGGATGCTCTAGTGCTCTGGCCGCATGATTTCACACGTGTCTGCCATTTGTCTCCCATTTGTTTCCCACTTGTCTCCCAGTAAGGAGAGGTGCTCTGGCCGCATGATTTCACACTTGTCTCCCACTTGTCTCCCAGTAAGCTCTGGATGCTCTGAGTGCTCTGGCCGCATGATTTCACACTTGTCTCCCACATGTCTCGACTTGGCTCCCAGTAAGCTCACTTGTCTTCCACTTGTTTGCCATGGCCTGTCTGGATGCTTTGTATCCCCGGGCTTGGCTGGATGCTGGGCCGATTAATTTTAGCCCTTGTACGGCGTCCCATTGTAAAGTCAATGAAAAACAGAATTTTAATGCTTTCCCTTTGAATCTTGTATGTGCGTCTACATGGTGGACTATAGTTTTCTTCCTCTAGGAATTACTGCTGGCCATATTGTTCGGAGATCTCATTTTTGAACCTTGCTCTGTTTGGGGTCTACGCTGGTATAATTAACTTGTTTAAACAGTTTGCTGTTTTTGCCAGGAAAAATTGTAAATGGTACAAGCAAAGCATTGAAAGCTTTCAAGTGTGCCCCTCTTGTACAGTGGCGACACGTGACCTGAGACGCACAACTCAAGCAAAGGCCAGCCATCGAGGCCACAAGCGTGCCATGCTTCTCCCCAACAAGAAACCAAATCACACACAAAGAAAGGCACGAAAACAAGGTCCACCGCACAATACATCAATAGAACAGTGATGGGCAAAACAGTCCAAACGATTGAGTCCGAATTTGACAGGTGGATAAGGCTGAGCTGCCGTGCTCATTGGCACATGTCCTGCAAATAATATGTTAGAACCATTGCCTGGATTTGCCAGGATAGTCCACTAGAGACGTTTTTGCCGCAAAGGCATAGTTTCTCAAGATTCCTTGATGGACCACTTTGAAATTGCTGGCTCCCCCCAGTTTTCCTCACGTGTCTGCGCTCAATTTCGAAGTGAAGCTACCGCTAGGATTCGAGATATGCCACTGCCCAAAACGAATGAAGGTGCCAAATTGTGTAAGGTGACAGAGCCTGAGAGTCAAAGACCGTCAAATGAATGGTCTCTAGGGTATCTGAAAGGAAACTTATTTAGTTCACTAAAGCAAATATAATCTGTCGACTTATGTGTTGTATCTGTTGTGTGGCAGTGAACATCGTCATTCATGTGAACCATCATAGTCATTCATGTGTGGGTGCATTGCGTTGCGAGGAGACGCATTCACTTCTCAGGTGAACGGTGAAAAATGACGGGTGAGATGTGACGTCAAGTAGACACTACCCAACAACACCTGACTCGGGACAGTTCACAAAATGTATGAACCATACAGTACCTTATTCTTTCCAGTCACTGTCGCTGCCATACACAATAGCTTAATTCTAAATTGCGTATGCTGACAGCCTGAAGCTTACTTCTTAAATTCAGAAACCTGAAACATAATTGCTACAAACCTTTGAAAAACCTGACCTTTTGAGATTTGCAAAAATCATCACTGATCTGAGTGCGATTAGTGAAATAGGAGATTTACATCCCAGACACTGACTCAGGTATCTCGACATCTTCCGGTGCTCACACGAGTCCCACCTGCACCCCACTGATGGATCACTGCCTTCGTTTTCCTCTTGAAAAAAATGTGTACATATTATATATATATATATATATTATATACAATACTATTCTTCTGATAGTCATAAAATAATAACCATTGTAATGTCAATAATATAGTATATCATACGTTCAAAAAAGAACATACACACTGCGCACGACCATGCTTTCGCTAGGCGGCTGCTTCCGGCCAATGATGATCCGCCGCTGCGGCTTCAACGCATGGCGGGGTGGTAGCCAGCCAAAGACTGGCATGCCTGCAGGCGTGTGGTGCGACGGACACCCCGAACGTGCCGGAAACTGAAGTTTTCGAAGCGAAGAACAGGCAAATACCCCCTAAAGGCATCTCTGGCAGATCGGGCACAGCAAATTTCCCAAAAAGGCTCCAAACGGCTCCATGAGCATCCAAAGCCTAGGTCCGACCCACCCTGGTTTTTGGTCGCTTCGATCCCTCAATTCCGCTGTGGCAGCCTTGTGGATGCAACGTGGACGGGAAGGAGACCATGGACTTCGGCACCGTCGACGTTCCCTCCTCCAACCGCCAGAAGTGGTTCGAAAGCCGAACGACCACCGATCGGGGTCGGGGGTGAGGCATTTGGAACCTCGGCCAATCCGAGAAGAGATAGAAGAAGCGAAGGGTGACCCGCATTTTTGGGGGTTCCGAAGATCACAGCAATCAAGCACCTTCGACGAATGGGAGTGAGTTCAACCGCCGCTTCACCCGAACGGAATAGCTTCTGCAACGAAAGCAACACTACAAAGCCCGGCTGAAAGCATCTTGGATACAAAGAAGGCCGAAAGCCCACAGCCAAGGGCTTCAGCGTCCTCCCCATTCTGCGGAGAAGGTAGCGGAGGCCTGATGAAAGGGCCCCGAACTGCGGATTTCGAACAAAACCGCTTGGTTTTGAGGTCGACCAAAACGAAAAGGGTTGTCCTGGCAGTGAATTGCTATGATTTGCTATTAGTGGAGGACCATCGAATCAACGGCGCGTTTGCGACTTTCCCCAATTCTCCTATCTTCTCCATGATTCTCCATGTTCCTTGTCCATCCTTGTTCTTTTCGCACCGTCCGAATTCAGTCGTGGGGGACGATTCCTGGGCGCCCCCGGCCAGAAGCTCGAAAACTCCGTTTGAGAGGCCTCGGCTCTTCAGGCGAGTTCCGGAGCGCGCCACGGCGCGCCACGGAGCTCCACGGAGCTGACTTTGAAGGGCTTGGAATGCACGAGCACAGACAATCCAGGGTCACCACAGAATTGAAGGAGTTGGTTGTGCAGGCTCCCAATGCCCCTCAGCTGAAAAGGAGGCCTCGAACAGTCCACCCCCGATGAAGACTTCACATGCGAAGTGGGGAACCCACCGTTCGCGGAGGAAAGAGTTGTCTTCCTAGCGGGGTGATGTCAAAATTAAGCGAGTCCGAGAGCAACGTTTAAGAACATTTATTATGACCATATTCGCCAAATGTGAAGCTCCAAAACTACCAGACTCCCACACGTTAACCTTCTTTACTTTCATCTTTCTTCTCCCCTTCTGCCTCACATGCCACCCAAAGCACGGGTACCAAACACGCTCGGGCCACCGAGCCATGTAGGCGAGAGCATAAACTTGGTGCTCTGGATTGATCTTCACCAATCTGGCGCTGCGACGTGTGGCGCACTGCCCCTGTCTCCCACTCAGTCACCCTCATCACCTCATCACTGCACCTGTCGCACTGCCCCGGTCACCCGGGGCCTTTTGAAGTGCTCGGCCGCCTCGCTGCTGCGTCCCAGGAACATGGCGATGCGGCCCCGCGTCTCCAACAGCCCGATCCTCGGCGCCGTGCGACGGACGGAGGCGTCCATCGTCCACCGTCCATTGGAGCGACACAGGTCTGCTACTGCGGGCTTCTGAGTGGTGTGCTTGGAGAGAGATATTATATTATACTATATATCGTTCTGGTTCGGATCTGTTGGCTGTTAGCTGATGCAGTGTGTTTTTGTTTTTGATGCAATCTCAAACCTTGAAGACCTAAATCGCTGGAAAGCTTCAACCCTTGAGAAATGGCCGGTTTTGGGGACACGGTCAGAAGTGAAGGTCACCAGCTTGCCTACTCGTAATTCCTGCCTGCTCATAATCTTCACCTTCCATCCAACATCCGTGGATGCATCGTGTTCCCGTCCCAACCTGCGTCTAAAAGATCTAAACGTAAATCTTCCGTCAACATCACCTGCCTCTTTGCTCCAATCGGTGCATGGCACAAGCTTCGCCCCATGAGCTTCGTGAGTTTCGCGCGAGCTTCGCGCCTCTGAGGAACCCCGACTTATCCACAATTTGTGCCTCGTTCGCCCGCAAGCACTCTAAGGCTTCCTGCCGAAGCAAACGTCTCTTTTTCAGAAGCGATTTCCCAAGAAGTACACAGGGCAAGACCCTGAAAGAATCAGACATAGAAGTGGAAGAACGCCTGTTAGCAATGGTTTGTCAGGTAATGGTGTTTTAGGGGGAGTGTATCTCTGCCCGCTACAAAGATGTCGATGAGCTCCTTGCTAGGCTGACTTCCGAATCTTCCTCTGTCCAATGTAGCCTGCCTGGTCCATAGGTTACTATAAGTTTACATTTACAAGGATGAAACACCAAAACGAACATCGGACATCTCCGAATGTAATTTTGATTGTTGACTTATACACCTCCCCTTCATGATCAACAGTCAGCATGAATCCATCATTTAGCGCCCTCTGACAACAAAAAAATGCAGTATTTGTCATGCACAAAATCCTGAACGACAGATACCTATGGGTACCTCATCCATCGCGATGTGTTTCTCTGCTTCCCTGTCCTCAAACTTTCCGGCTTCTTCCATAATGGAGGCCTCGGCTCACTGTCCAAGATCCCTGCACACGACGCACCACCAAGAGCACGCTTCATGGCCAGAAGTGCCACTTTTGGGTGACGGACCTTGTAGAGGTGAAGCTCAGAGTTCTCGTAGTCCGAAACCTGGTCCTGCTCCTCACAGTGGCCAAGCTGCTGAGCTTCCTTGCTCTTTTGAAACAATTGGTTTTGGCGATAGAGGCTGCAAGAGTGAGAGCACAAATGGAGAATGATGGACACAAGTGTAAAACCACGGGTCCAAAGATGTTGTTCAAACATGTTCAACCACTGTGATTTCAATGCGCTGCGGCAGCATGATCATCTCGAGCATCCAGGCCCAGCCTAAACCCAATCTCAAAAACTCAAAGCCCTCCGGTTTTCCGAAATGACCAACATGAACTCAACAAATCTATGCTGGAGCCTGTCCCGCCTGTCCCGCCTGTCCCCCCAAAAAAAAACAAAACTACCATAAATAATAACGGTGATTGATGTTCATCTTCACAACCCCAAGCAAAGGAGACCGAAAGGATCTGTGGATGGAAACCCTGGTCTTTCAGTCCTTAAAAGAATTCTCGTAATTGTCGATGCACGTCCAAGCAAATTCGTAGCTCTTGCAGAGGTGCTCCGCAATGGCATATCCCACCTGATGAGCCACTCTCCCATGAGTGACGTTCGGAGATGGGACCGACACCGACAGCCGCCGGACCAAAGCAAGAGCCCCAAGGTTGGTCAGGACCTGATCAGGCCAGCCATTTGGAAATGAGAAAAGGTGACGTGACTCCCCTTCGCTTTCACCATCTTGGAGCCAATAAACCCAAAATCCTGGGTGGGAATGAAAAAAACCTCGGGTGGCGCCTTTGCGGCTGGACCGGTCGAAAACCAAAGCTCCTCCCCCTCTCTGCCGAGCTCCCCCGTTTGCGACCCGTTGATGGGCAACGAACCCTGACACCGTGTCCGGGGTCCCGGGCCCAGTTGATGCGGTTGGAAGGCTTCACCTGGAAACGCATCGGGAGCCCCTGCGGATGCTCCAGAATGGCCCCGGTGTTCATGAAGTTTGATATCAAGAGCCCTCACAATGGAGAACACACAGGCAAAAGAAAGAAATGAGAATGAGAGAAAGCGTGTGAGCCTTAGTCAGTCTAACATGAACCAGAAAATGAATGGCTGTGAATGGGCCCGCAAAACACTTTTCAGTTGCTTCCTTCCTCATGTTCAACGTCGACATGCTTTGTAATGCTCCAAGGAGTGGAATCAAAAAGGTGGCGCCGTCTGACGTGGAAGGCTCCGTCGTTGGGATCGTCTGCCCGTTGGGCTCGTGGAACTGTCCCAGTCGAGCAGTCTGGTCGAGGAGTCGAAGAAAACATGCTAGCCAACGACTCCTCTGAAGAACTTAAATAAGCAAAATAAATGGAGATAAATTAGGTCAAACCCGCCGGGTTGACCTTACAGGCAGGTCACCCAAGGTTTTTTCTGCGTTTTGACCCACAACCACATGAAGAAACACCACCTCAGGGGTTGGCCCTAATCCACATCATGCCCTTCCAAAAGGAGTTTGGGTCGGTGGAAGCAATCTCCGGGTTTGAATATGTTCCGACCGCTCTGATTTCGTCTGGAACTGTGGCACCACCAAAGCTCCTTTCTTTTCTGGCTCGAGAGGATTCAAGCGAAAAGGTGTTTCTGGAGATTTAATGAATTTAATGATTCAAAGTCACCGAAAAAACTCTCCGCAGTTCTCGCGTGGTCGTGGTCAAAACCATCCCCCAAAATCCTACTGTGTGTTTGTTTCCCAGCTTCTGAAGAACTCCAGGATCCCTAACAGCTGAGAAATCAGACCTCCTCTGACTCAGAACTTCTTCCGATAATCGCTTTGAAGTGCCTTGGATGCCTCATTGCTGCGGAAGAGAATCTCATGATCCTTCTGCTGCATCTCTCATGTTCCTCCCGCCCTGGTGGGGTCTGATTGAGCGGAGCTGGTTGGTCTGGCTGCTCATACGACTGGTAAGCAGCAAGCCCACATTCGTCAAACTCCACTTGGTCTTTTTCCGAGATGCACAGATCATCACAGATCTATCTTGAATGCCCGAAGTGTTTGGCGATCGCTTTCCACTGGGCCTTCTTGCTCATCTGGAAGGAAGGAATCGATGGTTACTCTTGTCTCGACATCAGACCTTCCAGGCAACCTGACAATTAGGCAACCTGCCAGCCGTCTCTGAAGCCTCGGCACAGGGAAGCACCGAAGCCTCTGGCGAAACGCGCACGGCCGCGGCGAAACGCGTACTAGCTCCGCACCCCATGGCAGGTGCAGGTGAAAATTGGACCAAAAGCCCACATTTGGGGCAGCAAATGCCTGCGGGAGTTCCAACAAAAACATGTGAAGTACGAGGAGAAATGTCCAAAACCGCAAAGTAAAGTTCCTTGGCTCCCATTCTCTCTTTTGCAACCATGGTGTCCCTCAAACCAACAAATAGTGCATTCACAGAGTGAGTCTGGACCTATGTGTCGATGAATCTATCGGGACGCTCCACCAAAAAAGGAACCGAAGCCAAGTCTTCGTTCCTTTGGGCACAGCAAGGCCCAACACGAAGGGCCACCTGAGTCATTTTGTCCACCCTTCCAATCGCTTCCAAAAGGGTCGACCACGGTGTCCACCAGGGTGTCAACCCCCGTCTTTTTCCTTCGCGGTTTCGGCCTGCAGCAACTTCCTCCGGGTCTCGGCGAAGCCCGTCACGTCCCGCCCTGGGCGCCCACTGGAGCAAGGAGCCGAAAATGGGAACAGAATCCCCTTCCAGTGATGTGTGGGGTGGCCAAGGCCGGGAGCAAAAGGAAAAGCCAAGGCGCCGCGGTGCTTCTCTCTCTTCTCTCCGCGTCGCCCGGGCGCCCGGGCGGTGGATCTGCAAGAGGGAGAGGTCCCGAAGGATCTGGATGTTCTCGGGATCGAAGCGCAAGGCCTGGCGTCGCGTCGCGATCGGTGCAACGGCGAGGCTGGCAGGGTGGTGGTGCGGAGGGGATGGGAGCTTCGCGCGCCAGATCTGCAGGTTTTCAGGAAATCCTCCAAGGGTGGCACGGATGCTGCAGCGATGTCTATCCCCAAAAACAAAGAAATGAAAAATCCGGAAAAGCCGTGCAGCAGGAGTTTCCACTGATTCGATGGGGCCCTGGGTTTGGGAGACCTCTTGAGACCTTTTCCGTGGAAAATCTGCAGCTTCCCCGCTTGAAACTGAACACGTCGTTCTGGCAAAGGATTCTGCACGCAGGCCGTTGTTGTTCACATGGGTTCACAGCCAGCCCAACAGCCGATCGAGTCCCTCGGTGCGACCGAAGCCTGTCTATAGCACTTCACTGCCTGGCACAGCGGTCTGCGCTGGTTCGAAGCACGGGGAGTGTTTCGCTTCCGTCGACCGCGGAGTGCGAATTGTCATCGTCAACGCAGCCCAATGGGCTGCAAAAGACTGATCCCTAGGATGATTCTTCTTTGTGCGGTGAGGATCTTCAGACCGTCCACTGGTCCCAAATCACCAGATCGGAGCAAGTCCCTTGCGACACCTCATGATAGTCTCGATCTTGTCGATAGAGAAGACCAAAGACCTCAGCTTCCGTCGTTTCACGCCGTCGACGCCGTCCATGCCCGGATCGGTGCTCGAGACGATTGCCGGGCACCCGGGCGTGCCAGCAGACGTGGCTTTTCAGGTCGCACTTCACGCCCTGGTCGCACGAAGCAAGTTGTTCGAGTCGGCCAGACTTAC